TAAAAAAAAAAACTGAAAAAAAAAAAAAAAAAAAAAGCTGGGTGTGGTGGCACACTCCTGTAATCCCAGCACTAGGGAGGCTGAGGCAGGAGGATCCCTGTGAATTCGAGGCCAGCCTGAGCTACATAGTGAGTTCCAGATCAGTCTCAACTACACAGTGAGACCATCTCAAAAAACCCCCAAATTGGCTAACTGTTCTTGGATGACTCTGTTTTATACAAACTCACCCATAACCGTACTTTGCTCTTTTCCTTTCCTTTCTGCAAAAAGCCACCCTAAAGGAGTATTCATTGTGTAGTACACTTTCCTGAGGAGTTGGCAAAACAAACGACCCCATGTGAGTATTAAGCAGCCCTGCAAGGAGGTGCCGGCCCTCACAGCCCTGCTTTGTTCACTGGCTGCCTCCTGCCTTCCTGCACATTGGCCCTAAATTTCTTTGCATCTCCCGGGCACAGCAGTCTTCCATTTTACTTACATTCTCGACTGCTACATACTTATGCTTGCCGTGTCCCAAGAAATGTGTATTCTTTAAGGCCCAACTAGGATGTGGTCAAAGAAAACAAGAAACAAAGGACAAACAGCGGAAGGAAAAGCTAGGAGTCACGAAGGACAGTGTACAACCTCCAGGTCAGAGAACCCGTGTTGCTACCTTGGTTGATTATGAAATGTCGCCCACCTCCAGGGCCGAGAATTCTCACTCTTCCTGCCCCCCACCGCTCAAGTAGCATCTGCTGCATCTTCCTCATTTTTGTTTGCTTCATTGGGAGTTTCCACTCTGGGTGCCCACACACGTCGCCCCAGTGTACACTGGCTGTCTGTGGGAGTTGAGGATCCTTTTATGTCTGTGGGACACTTACCACCGAGACACACATCGGGATCTGATTGTGTCTGAGAATCCAAGATAAAAGGTTGGGGATATCCCCCTGGGAAGGATGCCATTAGTTCTTTTGTTTGGGGAGAAGAGGTTAGAGGGACGTTGAGCTGCACCAGCCTGGGCAACTTAGCGAGACCTTGCATCAAAATAAAAAATAAGAAAGGAAGGCGACGTAGTTCAGCGTAAGATCTTGGATTCAATCTCCTACACTGCCGAAAAAGAATGCACTACACAACTTAGTCGATTTATTTGACATTATCTGTTGCCAGGGATATGAAGCCCTTTGCTCCATCTCTAGAGCAATTTCCTTGGTTTATGCCTGTCCCAAAGGCTGATAATATCGGCTACGAGATGCCGTCCTAAGGAAGGAATTACTGTTTCACTTTGTTGCTATAGAGGCACTGTGGCTATTTGTATTTTAAGTGTGATGGTGGCATTGTGTTTGTTTTGGTATTATAATGAGACTGTGGTTATTTTTTAAATGACCCTCTCTGTTAGAGATACAGACTGAAGTAACTTATATACCATGCCTGAAATTCGCTTTGAAGCATTGCATAGGAGAAGAAAGAAAAGTAAAATAAGATGGACAAATGAAGCTAGTGAAGGATTATACTATTTTCATTACTTTTGTGCCTGCTTGAGATTCCTATGGAGAGTTCTTCTGAGCTTAGGGGTGCTCTACAGCTGATCTACAATGTCAAACTTTTAAATTTTTTATATTGAGAGAGTAGCTTGTTAAAGTTCCCAAGCTGGCCTCAAATTTGCAGTCCTCCTGTCAGCCTCCCAGGTAGCTGGAATCACAAACATACCTAGCTAATAAAGACTTTATTTGAGGGCCAGGGATTTAGCTCAGCGATTCAGTGGCCTGCCTTGCAAGTGCAAGGACCCAAGTTCAATCCCCGGTACCAAAAAAAAAAAAAAAAAGATTTTATTTGAGAAATTCTCCTCCTACGCCCAGCAATTTCACCCCTAAGTAAATATCCGCAATTATATGCACACATTCATGTTCACAAATGTTTATTGCAGAATTGTTTACAGTGGCCCCAAAGTCGGTACAGTCCAGAAGTCCACTGACCAGCAAATGGTGGTATGTTCCCATAGGAGATCACTGTTCTTCGATAAATACTGAAATAATCATGACGTTTGAGAAAATGGAAGACATAACGGGTTGAAAAATGATCCTGTATATATATATATATACATTTAAAACATCAACATTATAATACATACTCAGAGGGCTGGGGATTAGGCTCAGTGGCACCACACCTGCCTTGCAAGGGCAAGGCCCCGAGTTTGATCCCTGGTACCGAAGGAAAAACAAAAAAGAAAAAAAAAACACCCAGAGACATGTAACTATGCAGTAGAACAATAAGAGAAAAGGAAGAATTCATTATCACAATAATCAAGATGGAGATTACAGTGAGGAAGGCAGACAACAAGGATCCAACCTGAGAGTACAGGTGCGGATCTGCCCCTTCCCTTGGGCAAATATTTCTTCATGTCTATTTTCTACTCGTGTGTATGTGTACAGGTTTCTTATCTTCTACCTTTTAAAAATTTAAAACCAATCTGGGGTCCCGTTTTCTTTAGCTGTATTCCATGTGAATTTAGGCTACTTGAGTAAGGCACTCCATTCACAAAGAGGCTGAAATTCTCCTAAATTTGGACCTAGCAGAGGGACCCAGGGGTCAAAGGCCCCAGCAGTAAACGGTTCTGGCTCTGGCGGGATGGTGCTGGAGTCCTTCTGTGTCCGAAACGCCAGACTGAGGCATTCCGAGTGGAGCGCCATCTGGTGGCTGCTCAAACACAAGGCAAGGAGCGGAAGTCCGTTTCCGCTCTGACTCCTCGGAGGCAATCTCGGAGGAGGGTGTTTCCGGGGAGCTCCACGGGAGGGAGTTTCTAAGGAACAAGGGATTTTGCTTTCTAAATCCAAGCACTCCTTTTTATTTCAGCGTGAGCGTCCCAGAGACTAGAGAGTCTCCAGCTCTGCCTTGGCTCTTGTCCGACCATGAAGAGCTATGGCTGCTTTTAGTTGAAAGATAATCTGTGCAAATGATTCGTAATCCCGCCATGCTTGCTGTAATTCCAGCAGTCTGCGAGACGGAAGCAGGAGAAATGCAAGGTGAAGCCCAGCACCGTGGTTTGGTTCTGGAATGTCTACCATGTCTCTCACGCGTCTCTGAGGTGAACTCTGGAGAGTGGTCAGTCATGGCGGTGGTGTGCTCACCCGCTGGTGAGTTCTGAGGCTCAGAGTGTGGTTGGGAGGTGGGACCTGGTCAGAAGCGGTGGGACTCTGGGGTCCTGACCTGGAAGGGCATGTGACCACCCTTGGCCTCTCACTTCTCCCTCTCCCTCTCTGCTGCTTGGCCACAGTCACCTGAGCAACTTTTTATCGGCCAGACCCTGCCACCGTGCTCTTCCTGTAGTGGAGCTGGCCGACCACTGATTAAAACATGAGCCAAAGTAAACCTCTCCTCATTCAAGTTGTGGTATAGCTATTTTGTCCTAGTGATGAGAAAGTGATGAAGATATTGGTCCCGAGATTGGAATCTGAACCCACGTGGGCACCAGTTTTATTAATTAGGAGCCTCTAGATTCAATATAAAATATGTGTATGATTATACAAGGGATTTATTTGACAGGCTTAAACGATCAAAAGCAGAAAAGTCCCAATCACCATGTGCAAGGAGGGAAGATTCCAATGTGGCTGTCTGCATGCTGACGAAGGTTGAAAGCCTGGAGCCTCTCTGGTGTGACCATGTTAAAGGGCTGAAGAGTGTGTGGTGGGAGCCTGAAGGACCTGGACACCAAGGGTCAACAGCAATGGAGAAGCCTTGAGCTTCTCTGAAAAAAGGGAAACATGTCCTTCTTCCTTATTTTTTCTCCAAGTTACAAGCCTATTGGTTAATGCCACCACATCCAGGGTGGGTCTTCCATCTCATTTGCTGGCTTATGGGTCCATCATCCACAGACACATTCAGAACTTACTAATCTGTTGGGTGGCTCTTTCTAATGTCAAGCCGACACATCGTAATTAACAATCACACCCAGCCCGGAAAATTTAGCAAATTAGCAAAGCTCTGCCTCCAAATAAAAAGTTTTTAAAAAATGACAGGGGCTTAGCTCAGTTTGAAGGCTCTGAGTTCAATATCCAATACTGACAGAGAAAAACTCATAAGGTTGGGGTACGGGCTTCCCCTCATATTCCCTCTCCCAGCTCCACATCCCACCTAAGAAACTGTTCTCTCACAGTGATCTACAGCAGATGCTGCTCCATC